GGAATGCACGCACAAGCTAGCTCTTCCCACCTGCAGAGCGGATCATCTAAGGAGACGGGTGGCTGTTACATTGGCAAATTTTTATATTGTTACACCAGATCTGGAAAAAACGAGACCAAGCAGCAAATCTGTTCAGGAGCACAGGGGGTGAAGAGAATCAGGCTTGACCAACAGCCCTTGCCCTGCCTATGCTTCACCCCGACCTTCCCTGAGAAGCGCCAAGCTGTCGGCACAGCCAGGCGCTCACGGCAAGGTGTCACATCTCCTTCCACAGCGGGATGCAGGGCAATCTCTGGGTGTCTGGACCGCAACAACCCCAAAACAGCTGCAAAAAACCTTCCCCTACCCACAGCACAGGGCTGCGTTCCCGCGCCCTGGACACAGGCTCACCAACAGATGAGTCTGGCAGCAAGCTGGTACAATGTTGAGACAAAATACGCGAGAGGTGCCTGTCCTAAGCGCACTGTATACCACCAAGGAGCAGCCAGTTTGAGCGCACACCCTCCAATTCAGCCTCGCGGAGAGAGCAGCTGCTTTCCACCAACCTTCCCTGACACATGCTGAAAAAATTGTGGGGTTGAGCAAGCGAGTCTCAACAAGCAGGGGTGATGGGGAGGTGGGCGAGAGCGACGCCCAGCCTGCAAAGGGACGTGTTCCCATCCATGCACACTGGAGGGTTTTGCTCCCAGGGCGCTTCGAAACCTGCCTAGATCGGCCCACCACGGCCAAACGCAGCACAAACCACAGCGCTCAAAGTGTTCAGTGTTAGACTAAACACCGAGCTGAGTCAAGGCCATGGCATTGTTGGGCAGCAAACCAAGCGGCGGGTTATCTGAGCTTTCCTGGTGTTTCCTCGGTGGGAGAGCATCTAACTGCCCCCGTTGACTGAGGTCTCCTCAGGTGCAAAGCACTATAGCCCCTGCTGTAGGCACCAGGAACCAAATCCAGGCCCACGGCACCGTCCTTCCTTCAGGGAATCTGGGCTTCCCCCAAAGGATGCCTCAGGCAACAGAGGCATCCTTGCCTCTTCTTCTCCCCCCAAATCTTAATCGGGCTCCTTAGCACAGCTTACTTCTGCACTGGCTTAATGAGCTTACCAAACACAAGATACTGGTGAGCAGGGTGGAGCAGAGAAAGGAAAGAGGAGACACACTGGAAAGTATGTTGGACCAGCATTCAACAATTTATGGCAGGAAGGGCAGGGAAAGGAGAGAGCCAGGAAGGGAATAAGGCTTAAAGAAACCTGGAGAGAGCAGCAAGTGAGTTTTTAAAATAAGGGGAAAGTGGACTGAGGCTTTCTTTTTTTTTCCCCCCGATAAAATAACAAGAGCCAGACACAGAGACGTCTCATGGCGGTGAAACCGATGCAGCTCTGCTCGGCTGCACTGACGCTCGCAACACCGAGCGACAGAGAAACCCAGCATGACCGGGCGGTCGATGCTCCAGCAAAGCACCCGCTTGCGGCTTCAAAGACATCGCCGCGCCATTGAGCGCCTAGTCTCCAGCAGGCTTTCTTCACAGATAAAAATTAAAAAGCTGAGATTTTGCATAGAGCACTGGCTCAGGAAAATTCCTATTACAAGTGCATGGATTTTCCAAGCCCGATCCCTTTCCGTGTTCCTCTAGCGCTGAAATGCCTAATGCCCAGCAAGTCCATGCTTTCTCTTCCTTATTGTTCCAGTGTCCTACCTCCTCCTCCGATGGAGTGACCGAGCCGTAAGCCGATTCGGCCCAGACAGTTTGGAGTGCAATCAGACAGGACCACCAAGGACTACGCAAATGGCATTTGCAGAGGCCCATGTGAAAAAAATCATGGGGCAAATAGTCACACATGGCCACTCATAGCTCAACTCAGAGAGCTCTTGAGCAAAACAGAACTCAATTAGCCTCCTCCCTCCACTCCAGAAGTGTTTTCAATGCTTGCTATGGCAGTCAAGAAAAGAAAGGAGCAGCTATGAAGCAGCATCGCTGCAGGGCTCAGCATTCAGAGGCAGTGCAGGCACCGAGGCGCTGCGGATCGGTCCCTCGGAGGACAGCTCACCTTTCATCCCCATGACGGCAAAGGGCTTTACCTTCACCCTGGCACCCAGAGAAACACAGAGGCTGACACAACAGCAAAAGTAATTATGGGAAAGTGGCACTGACACGACTATTGATTTTAGTGACAAATGCATGACAGGTTTTTTGGTTTTTTTTTTTTTTTTTTTTTTTATTCCTTGCAGAGGTGCTCCAGCGAGACCTCAGAGAAGCGTGAAAGCTGCTTGCAGCTTCCCCCGCACCAGCAGCCAGCGACATCGCACAGCACGCGCAACCCCAGGCCGTCCTGCTCGCTCTTGGTGCCGATGCAGACGCACACTGGCCGTGCAAGCGCAGACCGCCATCTCCTCCGGCGGTCGGCACCTCTAGACGCACCAGGCACATTGCCACACCCTGGGGTGGTTCTGGCAGGGGGAGAGGCCAGCGCCACCCCTCGAAGAAGCTGTGTTGGCTGGAAAACCCCAAAGCGGGCCCCCAGGACCTGCAGGTCTTGAACAGATCGCAGCCAGAGCGACAGGCAAAATCGGCCACAGACTAAAATGAAGCTGTAATAAATACATTCCTCTCATTTCTTACCAACTTCGACACCTACTGTCCACACAAGGGGGTTTGCAAGCCTATCTGGCACTGGACACCAAGAGCGACAAGGGAGTGGGACGAGTTCTCCCCGGTCACCTGGGCTGTCGGGTATTCGGGTGGCATCAGTTTGCTTCATCAGAGCCACCAAGTCTAAAACTCCCTGCTGATGAGTTCAGTGTGACCAACATCACTTTACCAACAGGCTGGGCTTTCGGGTTAAGACAGTGAGAAGATCCTCCCTGATTTACGAGTCAAATCATCAGGACCTGGAAGAAATCAGAGTAGAATAAAGACCAGCCAGGTTGGCACACCCCCTCCTCGGGCACGGGGAAGGCCTCCCTGCAGCTGGGGAGTGGAACCAAGCCCAGCAGACGAGTCACCAGCATTAGCAAAGGGAATGCAAGAGTGCTTGAAAACCCTAGGGCCCTTCTCTTCACCAGATCCTAACCAACCAAAGCTGGCCTCAGCAATGGTTAGATACTCAGATACTATTTTAAGAACCACATATAATACCACCATCTTCCCCTTCTAGCCTCCAGCACAGCTGCAGCCTTTCTAAAGCTCCCCAAATCATCTGCAACGCTCTGGAGTAGCAGCAGTGCCCCAAGACAGAACTGCAATAGTTCAAAATCCCGGTTAACGTAACGGATGTGACCCATTCAGCTGCAAGTGCTTAAGCTGGTTTTACCTCCCATTCGTCAAGGAACAGTTAACTGTCAAGCCCAGAGAGCTTCTGTCCAAAACCCACAGCCTTCCCAGCTGTGCTTACAGCTTTTTTCCCCTCATATCGCCTTTTCAGGCCAAGCTGCTTTGACAGATAAAGTGGGTGGAGAAGGGCATGTTTGCTGCGTTAGGAGAAACATCTCGCACTAACTTTCCAATTACCCACACGATCTCAGCAGACTTTTTTCCATCACCAGCAAAGCTGAAGACCCTCGCTTAGTAACGAGTCTGGTTATTTGGTGTTCTGGGAAATGAATCTCCACTATCGTTTCCATTACCTTTTAGTGCTCTGTACACAGCAGCATCCCCCTTCTTCAAAGGTATGGCGTCGTGGGAGCACGGTGGTTACAGCGAAAGGAGCACAAACTACTTTTCCACATCAGCTGATATATATAATCTGAACAATTTCAAAGACAGACTTTGGAAGTGCTTGAATAAACTAACCAGGCTTGCTCAAGGCAAGACTTACTTAGACTGACCGTCCTACAAACAGCACCAATGGAGCCCCTCCAGAAGCTGGCAAACGTCGGACGCGTGTGCCTCCTGAAACAAATTAGCGCTCAGCTCCCCCTTACCCGATCAGGACGATAACGTCACGGATCCAGGTGTGTTCCCACTGCAATGCCAGAGCTAGGAGTTTTTTTTTTTTTTTTACACAGTGGGGAAGGGACGTGCAAGGGGAAATAACTCCACGCTCAAGCCAAGCCTTGGGACAATGTGTGAAGCAAGGCTGCAGCTCACTGCCCAGAGCTCCCTCGGCTCCCGAAACACAGCAGGACCAGAAGTTCGTGGGTATGAATCAACGACTTTGAAGACTTTTCACGACTTCAAAGATCGAGGCAGGGTGCTATTTCCCGTAGCATAAGCACTGCTGCCCTTAAAAAAGCACCTTTCATTACACACACTGAAATGTCACTCACAGGCGATCTGAGGTGTGAAACGGTCTGAGGGCGAAAGACAGCAAACAATACCAAACTCCTCTTGGTTATTCCCCAAAAACCAAACTGGAAATGCAGTTTTGGACAGCGGAGTAAGAAGTTTGCACAAATGCAGATCAATTCCTTCATTGCAGAGCCACACTTTCTAATCAGAAAGATGTCAAACAAGAGATGGTAAATGTCTGCCCCATATTTAGACGCTGGAAAATCCTTCTGACGAACCTGCAGCTAATTGGGTATAGTACTTACATAGGTAATCTTATTAGGCTCCAGGGGAGATAGGAGAATCAAGTGGAAACGGAGGCTACCCAGATGGTGGATCACACATCATGAAGCGGAGACCAAAGGGAACAGCATCTAGCGCTACGATTGCTGTACTCTGCATACTATCTAAAATCAAATTCTGCATATTGCTGCTGGCGGCTGTCTCAGAAACACGGGGGAAAAACAGAGGGAGGGATTACAAAGCCAGACAGCTCCCCAGCAAACCCCTGAGAAAACCCCCTTTGTTCCACCTGCGCACCAGCCCCGTCCAGCAACGGCTCCCAGAAAGTTTTGGCCACGGTTGGTCTGGCACACCAGGGAGGAGTGGAGCTTTCCCCGCTTGCGCGTCCAACCCAGCCACGAATTTTCACACCTGAGACTGCTTCCGCTGGCACGCCGCAGCAGTTTCGCCATCCCTTTCACGGGGTCAGCGCATTTGAATCCTCGGTCTCACCACAGTCGCTCACCACCTATAAAGCAACAAGTCTCTTCTCTCTGGCCTGGTTTATCCACCCCCTAAATAATTCTTCCAGAGATAACGGACAGCTGATCACTAAGGGCAGGAGGAATGGCTGAAATGTTTGCAGCGAGGAGCAGCCAAGCAGCAGTGAGTTATGCCAAGAAACGCTTCACACGCTGCCTCCGTATTATGGAAGCCCAGAAATGAAGCAGAGATTTCTGATCTGGAGTAAACAACACCACCCCTGTTCGCACAAAGAAAAATCAAGACAAATATCACACTGCAATTCTGTCTCAGAAAAAAAAACTTGGACAACTCCACCAGAGACTAGTGCAGCCACTTCCCTGCGCTGACTTACGATATGACCAAGGCGGAGGAAATTCAGTTCCTCTTTCCTGCCCTTAAAAGGAAAGGAAGTATTGCTAAGTAATATTTTTATTTATTCATTTTTTTAAATCACAGAGCCAAGATCTGATGACTCTTAACACAAACTGGGTGCAGAGAGGCAGAACACTGAGCGCTGCTCTGCAAACCCAGTTGGCAAACACCAGCATTTCAAAGGGCCTGTTTTGCGGCAGACAACGTTCGTCCTGTTCACTTGCGGTGACCAGAAATGTTTTTATATCTCAGTGTTTTAAAAAAAAAAAAAAAAAAAAAAAAACTGGTACGCATCAAGACCAGAAACCACAACTTTTCTTCCTGCCTGGTCTTTTCTCTCCTGCCCAGATATCTGATTACAAGGTTTTGTCGGGGACAGTCAATTGCTTGAGAGCACAGAAGACTTCATGGCTTGCGTTCGCTATCGCTGTGCTCGTCCACCACTTCTAACTCAAGTCCTAAACTTTATTTCCCAGCAAATCTGAACCGTGAGCCCTGCTAGCGTATTTGTTAAAGGACGTTTCCCATGCTGAACTGTTAGCTTGTTTATCCTTTGACACTAAACCTAGTAGGGACAGGTAACTATTTTAACCCATTAGGGTTCACGTGCTTATGGAAAGTACGATCTCCACAGTAAGACACCAAGAGTGCTCAAAAACACACCTTTTCCTGGTAAAGAGCAGTCTGAACAGCCGGACTGGGAAATAATGGCAAGGAAGCTTACACAATAATAGTGATTAAGTACTGTGTCTTCTCTCCGCTTGGATCTGGTTTCTGCAAACCTAATCATGTCAGAAGGAAAGAAAAGAAAAATCTTCCCAAGCATGGCTAAACCTATTAAACTCAGACATGGTGCCACACCCGGGAGGCAAATAAAATATAAATGCACATCTGTGCTGTCATAAAAAAGCTTCTGTAATATTTCTTGCATGACCTTTTATTACCTTTGGTTACCGGACAGGCAAGCTCGCCTACGGAAAGCTGCTGACAAAGGGGGAAGAGCTCTCCAGCTCACAGCCTCCGCATCGCAGAGCTGGGTACCCGCGTGCTGGGGCGGGAGGAAGAGCCAGGCAAAGCTCGGGTGCGTTTACCACATGCACAAAACCTCTGGGAACATGCAATGCTGCACAAACCATGTGCTGCCGAGCCCTGCCGCATAATATAAATGACAGACGCAGGAGAAAAAGGGGATCAATCCTCTCCTGTCGACTACGAGCATCATTCGGCAGCTTTGTGCCTTATTTTGGGCAGCAAAGACAGCGAGTGACACGGGGACCAGGTTAGGGATGTCAGATCCTTCCTGCCTCGACAGCAATCTGCCTTGCTGACTCCCAACGCTTCCCCTGGCGACCGCGCTACTAAAACGGCAAAGCCGATTCCGCTAAAGTTCGCCACCACCCAAGGCAATTAAGGAACAGAGGGTAAAACCTACTTTTTAAGATGACTTAGGCCAGCGCAAACTGGCATACGCAGGGGCAGTAGCCCAAGGCTCCATTGGCAGCTGGCTGCGCCCGAGCGCAGGTGCAGCGGCATCGCTGAGCTTTGCTCCCGCGCGCCTGACCGGAGGGGCAGGACAAGCTCAAGGCAGACACCAAAACACAGCTCCCAGGATGAAAGTCTGGCCGATAGCACGGGATCAGCCAAGCCAGAGGGGCAGTAGCCTACCAGCCCTAAGGCGACGCTTTTGTGAGCGATACAACGATGCTGGCAAGCGGGGCTCGTGCTGGTGTGCAGCGGGGCGTCTGGAACGTCATGCCCGAGCGCGAGAGTAGGACGCACCACCGACCCAGCTCATTGCTGCAGAAAGGCATGTTGCGGCCCCTCTTTTGCAGCGAGCCCACGCTCCCTCAGCACCTGAGCTGTTGGACCACGACTGCTGCTCTCCAAATCCTCCCGCCAGCAACTGAGAGGTACAAGAGGTCGCCGGAGACGATGAGGCACCGGACTCGCTCCAGGAGAGCATCGCCGGGCACACGGCACGCAGGCCATGTCGACCCCCGTCTCCCATCCACGCCGCGGACAGGCCCGACCCCGCTTAGCTTCAGAGCACGCTCTCGCAACAGGAGTGCATGGGCGCCAGGGGACCCGCCCCCACGAGACTGACAAGGAGCTCGGCCAACCGCAGCGCAGAATGATATCTGACGGCCAATCAGGACGCGCGCGGGGCGGAGCTCCGCTCACTTCCCGGCCGCTGCCCTGCTCAATGGGACTGGCAGCCCCCGACGGCGGCGGC